GAATAAATAAATAAATAAAATAAAAATAAAATACGAGGGTTGAAAAATTCAAGTGGTTTTCCTCTGAACCAGCGACTTACATCTTCTTGAACTTCATCATCATCTGCATAAAGTTTTCCATTGAGATACTCCTTCAATTTAGGAAAAAGATAAAAATCAGATGGAGCAAGGTCTGGACTCTATGATGGGTGCGGTAATGCCTCTTGAAATCTGAGACTTTTCATGGGATCTTGAGTTTGTCGACTCGTGTGTGGACGGGCGTTGTCGTGGTGCACAACTGCATTTTTTCCGGGCCGAACTCGTGACAGCCGTGCTCTAAGTTTTCTCAGGGTCTCAATATATCGTTCAGAGTTGATAATAGAACCCTGTTCCAAAAATTCCATATGAATCAGACCATCGCAATCCCACCCAAAACACTGTCATAAGCGCTTTATTTGCAGATGAAACAACTTTGAACTTCTTGGGGCTAGGTGAGTCAGTGTGCCTGGGTTTTTTTTCGATTGTCTTTTGTTCTCTGGGTCATAATGGTGTACCCAAGTCTCGCCTCCTGTGACTATATGGCATAAGAAAGCTTCAACGTCATCAGTATAACGAGCCAGCAGTTCATCACTAACTTGACTTCGGTTCAATTTCAGCTCGAGTGACAACATGTGGGGAACCCACCGAGCACACTTTTTTCCTGTAACCCAACACATCATGGGTGACATACTGAGCACTCCATACAGAAATCCTTAGCATTTCACTGACATCTCTTACTTTGATCCGCCGGTTTGCTTGGATGATCTCATCCACTCTCTCCTGGTGTTGAACATCACTGGCAGAGTTGGGACGACCACAACGAGCTTGGTCATGCAAATCTGTCTCTGCTGGACTGGTTTCAGCGAACTCCTTTGCCCATCTTCGAACAGTACTTACATCTACACAATGCTTCACCATAGACAAGCTTCATTCGCATGTGAATAGCAATAGGTGCAGCTCCGTCTGCAGTAAGGAACTCAATAACAGCTCTTTGCTTAAAGGACACTTTCATAGGTTTGCTGGACGCCATTTTCTCGGCCACAATATACCCTAACGTCTATGATGTAAACAGCAATAGCATAAAGGTCTGATATCATAGCATAATTCTGGGG